CGATCATCAGATATTGTCCAAGATTAACCTTCAGGGTGGATATAGCTCGCTAGCAGCCTCGCACCGATGACATAGTTGATGTCATCTTTTACCCAGAATGCTTTGCATGCAAAGAAAATGGCTCCATCTGCGTTAAAATATATTTTAAAAAATTTACAAAACTAAACAGCTACAGTATTTTTACAGTCTTTATTTTACAGTTAAAATAAACATTTATCAAATAAAGTTTAATGTTACAACTAATCATGGATCCCTTTAAAGAAAACAGATTTTTGTCTTACCGGTTTGTTTCTTTGGATCATCAAAAAGATCGGCTGAACTTATCGAAGAATTCCCTGCGAATCTCTCCAGGCGAGTTTTAGCTTCGTACTAACAAACAAATTAGTTTTAGTTTATTTTATGAATCTCAGTTACTACTTTTGTACTATGTGTTGTGACTGTGTACCTCAGAGTTCTCCTGTTTTCCAAAGTACATATCAGAGGAGATGGCTTTGACGTCGGCTCCGAACTTTTTCCGAGCTTCGCCTGAATCTGAGACGGGTGCCGGTTCAGCTTTCCTCCTGGTTGTAGGTCTGAGGAAAAAAACAAAGAGAAAAAATTCATTTTAGTAATACATTTTAAACTAACATTTTAGCATGTCTCATTCCTAAAACTTATTTATAGAAAATGTCTCACATTTATTGCTGCTAAGCTCTTTCTTCAAATGAAAAAGCACATTAGGAAGCTGTCGTGTAAAATGTGTTAGTCCGTGGGCTAGGGTAACTGTAACTACACACACACCATGCTGTCAAAGACATATATTACTAAACACTTTGGTACCTGTCGTCAAATGAAGACATGGAGGACATGAAGAAATCCGGCTCTGGTTTCTTACTCTCTTTCATCCACCCTCCTGCATCACTACCGTCTCCCCATTGGAAATCTGTAGGTTCCGTCTGATCCTCAAATCGAGACAGGACTCTAAAGGAAGAATTAGTTCAGAGTGAGCTTAAATAGAAAATACTTAAACATTAAATAAAAAAAGATTCTAGCTGCATCATTTTGACATTTCTCTAAAGAGGATAAAGAACTTTCATTTGCTAGTTCTAAGTAAATTAGAAATGATTGGGCTTTTATTTTGAAATGGAGGGTGGTTTTCTTCCCATCCAGTGAGCTGTCAATTCAAAATTAGAGATAGCAGCACTTTAAACTTTATTTAAACTTGCATTTAACTGTTTAACCTTGAGCTAAAGGAYCCTTCATCCGCATCATCTTCAGTAAATCGTCGGGCTTTGGTAGTTTTGGCTCCGAGTGGACTCTCCTGCTGGATGATGTGCATTTCTGACAACACAGAGTGTGAAACTCCACTACTGAAAGAGAGAAGAGCGAGCCAAGACAAAGAAATAAGAGCTAACGCAGAAAAAAAGAACAAAAAAAAAAAAACAACAGAGTTTTGTTTTATCTAACTCCGYCTACCTCCTCATGCCAAGACCCATGCCCAACCGCTCAGCTTGCTCCTTCTTCTTCCCCTCTAATCCCTTCAGCTTCTGCTCCTCAATTTTCTTCTGCTGCTCCAGCTCTTTATAAGCCAGTCGCAAGGACGGAGCGCTAAGAAAAACAACACGAAAGGGTCAGAACTGACAATAAAAGGAGACAGAAGGTGACTAAATACATTTATCAGAAACCGGAAGTGCTCTCACGTGGATTCCTCGGATGGGATATTCGTCTTTGCGGCATAAGAGCTCTCTTCTTTCTCTCGGAGTTTGTCGGCAGCCTGAGCCTTCTTCTCCAGCTCTGAGAAGCTCTGGCTGCTGACCTTCTGAGCTCCCAGACCGCCTTTTTTAGTAGCCAGCTACAAACAGACACATTTAGAAATCCTCAATCCTGTTTCAGAGCACAGCTTCAATTCAATACATCAATTCAGGACAGAAGCCTTCTTAGGGCACGGTACAGAAAAGTCGTTTTTTTTTTCTTGAACGTACAGTTTTCTTAGCTGCAGCTGGCTTCTTCTTGAGAAGAGAGGAAGGCTCTGAAAAAAGAAAATTATACATTTACATCATCTACAATTATTCTAAAAACAACTCAAATGTGCTTAAATAAAAAAAGGACGAGCTTTAATAGGAAAAATCTGAATGGACCTGGATTTTCTTTTGGAGAAACACTGAGCATTTCTACACTGGGACCTTCCTCCAAATTCCCTGAAAACAAAGTGAATGGTCAAATCATATCATTTTATTTGGCAAAAAGATACAGCTATTTTTTGAGTTTTATGCTAGATTATTTAATGGCAACGAACCATTTCGGTCTTCATTTTTGTCCTGGGTCAAAGGCTTCTCTGATGTGGACAAGCTGAGACTCATTTTGTCCAAATTCAAATTTTCAGGCGTAGCCTGGACAAAAAGAGAAAAAAAAATCATCCAGTTATTTTTCAGAGTCCATATAACATGTTAGACATGAGTAAAAGTGAGAAATAATAAAATAAATGGCAAACTAAAATGTTTTTAAAATATATGCACTTTTTGAAATTACCACCTCTTAAGCCCCATTACCTTTAAYTTCAGATCTGTCAGTTGAACCTGGACATGTTTGGTATCAAAAGAAACCTAAAAAATCTTGGCTAAAAGCTCAAGGAAACTATTTTTACATTCACCAAACWGTTCAAACGACAGACAGTTGAATCAGAAAGTAAATAAACTGTATACAATGGCATCATTGCAAATCTGTAAATACATTACAACAAATCTGTAAAAGGAAAAAAGTTTTGCCTTTATTTATTTAAAACAAGTTAAAGTATGTACCTAAATATGTTGTAAATTGTGTTGAAAGTTTTTTTTCCCCTCTTGATTTTGAGTCAATATGGTCCAACTGAAGTCCAATATAATTTCTCATTATTTTATATAATATATATGGTGACAAATAAATGTCTGGATAATTTTTCAAAAGAACAAACATTCAATAACAAGTCTTTTAAGGCAGGTAAGAAAAAAATAAATAACTTCTGGGTGCAAAAACTTAACGTTTCTTAACATTTGTTAATGGTACCTACATGGTCTGTCCTGTGCAGAATGRCAAAATGCAAAATTATTTCTTAACTAAAACCTCTGTAACTTTGCTCCAGTTCATTTTGGAAACATGAATCTTCGCACAGGTAATGTCCACAAGTGGATTTATGGTTTCCAAGAGTTTTTAGCCTGATTCTTTATGGTTTTAAATAGGTTATATACTGTCTAATGAAAAACATTTTCAGGCGAGAGTGAAAAAATAATAATAAAGTTATGTTCCATCCCCAATATCTCTAAAACCACAGCAGCTGTTTTAATACTTACATTTCTAATAAAATCTCCCAAGTGTAGGCTTTATTTTGATACCAAGATTATTTAAGTAGAGTTTGTAAATGCTAAGATAAACTCAATTACATTTTAGCATGTTTTTTTGAGCAAAAACTTCAAGAAAACCCCTTGGGGCTTAAGAGGAATTTTTCTCAAAACATTAATTGAAATAAAAAACTGAATAAACTGCTATGAAAATACACTTTTAAAAAAGGGTAGAACCACTTCTATAAAAAAGAAAAGCTAAAAGAGAAGATGTAAAACTTCTTATCGCTGAAATAACTTTTGCCCTTTTGTAATTCAAGTGCATGAACACGATTATAAATTTTCACCAGAATCGTCTTGTTTTAATGCGATGAGCTGTTTTATCTGCATAGGGTCACGTGAAGAAAACTGCTGACATAAAACTAAAATGGTTACCAAAAGACAAAACAAGGTCTGATAATCAAACATTGTTGCTTAAAACTTTGCAGCAAGACTATTAAATGGAGATAGTCCACAACATTAACCTACAGCTTATAAATAGTTTTTAAGAAAATTAATAATTTTCTACATAAACGATAAAAGACTAATAATCTTAAGCATTGTTTTAATTTCCAAAATGTTAAAAAAAATAAGATTTAAGAAGTGCAAACTGTTTGGAATAAGGTTTGACCCCTTTATACACTCCTATCAAGGTTATAAATAAAATTCAACCAATCAAATAAAACGTGGACACACATATCAGTGAGCAAACAGAAAACGCTGCTCTTGCTTATTATTATCTCTATAACTGATCCCAGCTGCTTATACAGGATGTTGATTGGTCTGGATGAATGGATTTATACACCCTGTAGAAAATGATTTCTTGTAGCCAGAAACAAATAACTTAAAGTGYCTCAAAGTGGACCTCAAAAATCCCATAAAAACCGAGGCAACCATCTGACAGCAAACTCGCTTAAAAAAAAGCAACTTTGTAATCATTTTAAACATTATAACACACAGGTGTCCWCACACACTCCTGTACCTGTGAATGTAGGCTGAAGAAATCCACCTGCTTGTCTCCTGGTGACGTTGGAGAGAGAGGAGCCTGACTCTCGAGCCAGAGCTGAGGTAAAGAAAAAAAAAAGAGCAGCACAACTGATTTAATTATCTGAACACCTTTAGCAGTTGAAGAGTGTCCGTTAAGCAAAGAGAAGCCAGAGTGTGCTTTGTTTAATCTCCAAGCGTCACCTCAGTGCCATGGCGTCTGGTAGCTTGTGTAGCCAAGGTCTTTATCTTCTCCCTGTACAGCTGGGCAGCCCGGCTGTTGTATTTGGTGTTCGCTGCGCTGGCCTGGCACCCATGTTGATTAAAAAACGCAATCTGCCACATAAAAATAAAAAAATAAAAAGAGATTCAAGTTAAACTGTATTTGTGACTTGCTGTGTTGGGATTAGATTTACTTCTGATACTCACCGCACTGGCATTGCCCCCAACCTGCATGCATCGGAGCTGAAACCAGGACCAATTAAAGTCCAGTTCAGTGGACCTGTGGAACAGAACAGGTGTTTTATGGGAACGTGGTTTTACAAACTAAATGCTGCCACGTCTGCAAATCTTCTCCAGCTAATGAAGCAGCTGTAATTTCCAGTATAATAAATAGAYGCATTTTTAAAATGAGACCCATATATTCACCCTACATCTCAYGGATTAAGGACACTCCTGTCAGGACAGTGATGTTTAAATTTCAGACAGAGAAGATGGATGGCTGAAGAGAGGTGTAAAAGAATAAATGTCAAACAAGATCAACTTTAACATAAAAAAGGAGGCCTCAGCTTTCCAGAACACGTGACCAAAACTATTGTCAGGACCAGGCTGACAAAGACCCTAATGACCCTCAGGAGGATGCGAGGGGAGTCGTGCTAATCTGCATGTGAATTCAGCTCGAGTAAACAGTTCAACCCTGCACAATCCGGTTTGGAAAGTTTACATTTTTTTTCCTTTATCTCACTCTTCAATTTACCCCAAACCGAAATGCATTCCTACAGCTATGCCCTGTCTTACCTGATGAAGGACAGGTGTACCCCCAAGGACCTGTGGGTCCCAGAGCAGTCGATGCAGAGGAACACGCCATAGGTGATGCTGGCCCAGCTGGGGTTTTTAGCTGCGCAGTCAAAACAAACCTAAAAGGCCAGAGAGCAAAGAATAAAACCTTATCTGAATTCAGACTTCAGAAGTCAATATTGAGTCATAGAAACATCATCATGAGGGTCTGAAGTGCATGTGGATAATTAGTGTTACAGGCGCTTCAGCTGTTAATAGATTTTGCTTTGCTTTCTGAAACGAGATGAAAACACCTCCTTTTTACTCAGGGTGTTAGCCCTGACGTCTTTTGTTTAGTTTACATTAGGAGCCTTAAAGACTTAGCCTAAAAAAAACATGGCTGTTAACTGTACAAAAAAATAATAAACTAAAATCATCTCGTTAAGTTTTTAAACAAGTGTTTACTTTGCCCTGAATTTTAGACAGGACATAGTTGAGCTGTTTCAACAAGCCCGACCTATTTTGAAAATGCGGGCAATTAGGTTTAAGTGGAGTCAAAACTAGCTTACAAGTGCTACGTGTCGGATTTTTGACCCAGCTGACTTCCTTGTTAGACACCGAACCGTCCGTTAAAAACAACCCACCTTGTTCGTAGGAACGGAGCGCAGTCGCTTGAAAATCGCCGAAATGTCCTGTTTCCTAGGTTCTGCCATTGTTCTGCCTCTTGGTCGTCAAAAACCTGCGCTGCTTAGAGGAATGGCATCTAAACAAGCTTCGTGTTTTTTCCCCAATAACAATCGAATGCGACACGTCAGTAGGAAAACGTTGGGCTCTCGCTCTGATTGGCTGAAAATGCCCCGTGGTTGTGTTATTGTAGAAAGGCATTCTGGGTAATGTAGTTTCTGAAACGCGGCAGGCAAGCTTTCTGAAAAGAAATTTCTCATTGTAAACTAAAACTATACTTCTATAAATGGAAATCTTCAAGGTGCATTAACAATGCAATTAAACGTTTTTTTAGTTAAGTATTTTCTTGTCTTTAAAAAAATTTAATCTAAAATACTGAAGAAATAAATATTTTAAAGTTTTATTTTAGATTTGGGAAATAAAAAGCTAAAAAAAGAAAAAAACACATCTGTACCAAGTGTCAAAACATTTTGCTGAATAAACTCATTTATTATGTTGTGACAACATTTACAGACATTCAATGTGCAAGTACAGCTGTTACTGCCTACTGACAGCAGCACGCCCTGAAAACATGTCAAAACATCCTTTTATTTTAATCGTTGACAAAGGCATCACTAAAATGATTACATTAGGTAATAATTAGAGCTTTCATGAAAGAGCTACAGTTCATTCCAGAATATTTATTAAAGTTGTGGGGCGAGAATCTGAACATCTTAGCTTTTAAGAGAAAATTAAGTGAATCATATGGTATTAGTTAACAGAATGCAAATGTCCCTCTAAAGAAAATCTTATTTACAAATGACAACAAATATTTGCCATAAAATTTCAGTTAATATACAATTGTTTTCAATCACAGCATCCTAACAAAAGTAGAAAAAAAGCACTTGAGGATTTATAAATTAAACATCAATCTCCAACTGAATGTCCTTTCATCGCTGACACTTATTTTTGTATTTGTTCAATCTAAGCATCCATTTACATGCACAAATTTAAGTTTATGCTTTTCTTGCTAAAATCTTTTCTACTTAAAAAAAAAACACTAAAAATTTCTTTAATCGTTTGACATTTAAATGGAGAAACATTCAGTGCTGTGTCAAAAATGAACTATAAAAATCCTACAAACCACAAATGACAAAAACGGTGGGAACGTTTCCTGGTCAGCCATTTTAGAAGGGGAATAAATCAGTGGTTGCACCAGTAAAAGTGAACAATCAAAGGCTGAAAAAAAAATTTTTTTTACAATCATTGATATACATTCATCTGTACTGACTTGAAAAACAAATTACTGAAGATAACCAATAGATCTTTATTTTTTTTAATAGGCAGAAGAAATTTAAAACTATGACAGGAATGACAGAAATGTTAAGTGCTCGTTTAAACACAAACTTTACATAAGGRCTTTTGTATATATTAAAAAAGTACTTAAACATTAACAAACTGAATTATTCACTAGTAGCTAATTCTGGTTATAAAAATGAATCTCCCTTAAAGAATTACAAATATTAAGTCTGCTAGGCAGGTTGTTCGACTGTCATCCCAGTGTTTTGTTCAAACAATATATATTTACATAAACTTTTAATATCTTCTCTGTAACAGCATAAATGATTTAAGTAACATATCTTACACAACTTATCTGTAATCTTTCTGGAAACATTTGATAACTCAACACTACTTTCCACTTCTGCCGTTTTCTTTATAAGATGGTCAACATGTAGAAAATTTCATGTGGTCCTTAAACAATGTGTCGCACTCCAGTTCTAATCTAGACTTTACACAGAGTCATTCAAGCTGAGCCTCTGTGTCCTTTAGAGCTGACAAAAAAAAAGAAAAAGAAAAAAATGTTCACATTTCTGGGATAATTCCTTATTGGATGTCCTCTACATAATTAGCAGGATAAAGACCCATTTGTCCGTCCTTGAGTCGGCCTTTGCACCAACCCTGATCATCCTCTTCTCCAATTTTGGTAAATTCATCACCTGGAAAGGGGTTAAGAAGGAATAAATATTAGTAATYGCCAAGAAAATTCAATAAAGTTCTAAGAATTAAATTTTTCATGCAAGAATTTCCATGCAGATTTTTAGTTTTGGTCATGTATAAAGTTCTAACTGGGATCCATACCAGATTTTTAGGTTTTGGAAAGCTGAAACATGAGGGGTCCTACCGCATTACCAAGCTTTTACCACGCTTTTCATTTACACACCTGCTTTAAAACTTAGCTCATCCTGCTCCTGTCCTTCATAGTCGTAAAGGGCTTTGACAGGAACAGATACAACTGGAGACTCAGGCTCGTCCTCAAATGGATTGCCGTCACCGTTAGCAGAGAAAGGGTTCCCAACTGGGTCTTCATCTGACCAGTCTGGAGTCTTTTCTGCACTGCTGACACTAAAACAAAGTAAACACTAAATTAACAAAAACTAATTCTAACAACAGTTGTTTTGTTTTCCAGAGCTTCTCGTTCCACATGCTGCATTGTAATAGTGCAAAGGTTGGAGTGGGATAAATACAAAAAACATACAAAGAAAAAAGCATTTCTTCCATGAAAATGTCTTTGGTTTCAGTCTACATAAGTAAAAAATAAATGTATTATTTATACAAGTATTTGGCTGAAGAGCGATAAAATAACTCAAAAATCTCATGCCATATAAGAGCATCCAGCAAAATAAATGCACACAATGATGAAGGGAGGCAAGGCAAGAAAAAAAAAAAAAGAAAAATACCAACAAAAGAGCATGACAACATAATATACACAAAGAAACAGCAACAAGAAACCAAGCAGCACAAATCATTGTGAACGCATGATTGGTGTTGGAACTTGGGCGGCCAGCAGAGGGAGCCACCTGAACAGAAAGAACACTGACCCAGCTGGAAAATAACAAATACATATCAACAAAAACGTTTTACAGTCAGGCTGATTAGCAGCTTAAAATCTGTTTGAGTTTGTTTGCTTTGCTACATCACTGGTAAATAAGTATTTATATTTGCATTTATGCATACGTCTTTAAAACAGCCCATTACAGAAAAAATAAACCATTTAAGCTAGTAATCAAATCTGACTGTAAGATGGAAATATTTCCYACAGCAGACATGCGCTTCCATACGCATATGTAATGTTCTGCAAGACGTAAAAGAAAACGGTTATGAATGAACGACGGACACACTGACTCGGTGTGAAATGCCATTCAGAAACCATGCAGAGCAGCACAAACTGCAACCTGATGAAAACAGAAACAACACAGGTGGGAGGCGAGTAACTGAGACGAAGGAACACAAGAGACGCGRCACGAATCCATGGAGTAAAGAAGCAACGAAGAAAGGGCAAGGAGGCTGCGGGTGGGCGGAGAGCTTTTCTCCTGTTCACCAACATTTTTATTTCTTCTTTTTTCACAGTGACGTGGTTTTCTATGGTCTGCTGCCGCTGCTGCTGCTGCTCCTCAGCCATCTCCTCTTCCTCATCCTCCTCATCCTCAAAGGGGTTAGAGCCCACGGGTGCTGTTTTAGTAGGTACAGTCAGGCTGACAACATGGAACACAGAGATGGGTTGTTGATGCATGCACATAAAAAAAACACACGAGGAGCTCACCTGTTAGCAACGAGCTAATCGACTCCGTGCGATGTTTTGATTAAAGCTCCTTGGACCATGACTCAAAGTCTTAACACTACTCATGCACTACATCTACAATCTAAAGTTAATACTAGAAATGGATTTTCTAACTCTACAGCCAAATGCAGTGCATGAGTTCAGCCACTCTCAGATGCAAGAAATAAAAATGAAAAACAATCAGAATGGTTTTGCTGATGTGCAATTTCTTTCACAAACRTACTTTAAAATAAGCAAACACACACACTGATGAAATTCAACTATAGTTGCAAATTCAGTGTTAGATAACATTAAGCAGCAGGCGTTGTTTCTTTGGAAAATGACAAGCATTTTTTAAAATTCTCTTTAGACAGTTTTTACTCAAATCTTTCCAATACGGTTATCTTAAAGAGGCAACTTCTCCTGACACTCAGCTGACAAGAGAGATGTTTGCCTTTCAAACCAAATCCTGTTCAGATATTTCACACCCAGGGGTGAGGCAAAGAAAATGGCACATTGTGGCTTTAACTGCATCACAGACCCACTAATTATTGTATTTACTAAAATCAACAACAAGCACAAGTAAACAGCGTCAACATATTTAAAACTTAGGTTGTTTTGCCTTACAATAAACACCAAGATTCAAAAACAAAGCATAAACTTCTTTGAGTAATTGTTACCTTTATGCCGTTTAGGTGAAAAAAGGCTATTTATTTTCCACTATTGTGACTTTTCTGCACCAGAGGAAAAAAAATAGTCTAAACCAGCATCACAGGAAGCACTTAGTTTCTACTCCCAGTTTACAGAACTACTGGACCGTGCACATCAGCTATCGTCAGCCCTTCAGAGTGTGGAGAGGAGAAACGTGAACGCCTTTGTTTACACAGTCACGCCACGCGCTCTCTCAGGGGAGTCTGTGGCGTTATTACATCAAACACTGCTTCAATGGGAGTCAGGAACAACGCAAACAAACAAATTAGACCTTTAATTATGAGTGTAAAGCTGCATCAGCCTGAATGTCTTTACATTCACTGTTTTCATGCACACAATAACTGTAAACGCTGGTGAACTGAGGGGAAGGTGATCAGTCTCAAGGTGGTAACAGTTCTAAAGTTTAGAGGTTAAATACTTTTCATGCCTGTCATTCCATTTGTTGACTCCTCTACACACACCGATTTCTATAAACACACAACTTCCTACAGATGTGCAAGTCACAACACATTCATTTAACCAACCTGAATTTAAAAAATGACACTTGTATCATAAACTTCTCTTTAAAATTCATGTCTAAAATCACAGCGTTGAGAGATTTGTTATTGCTTTAGTCAATTTTCTTAATGTGTCATTTATATGATAAAGTGTTACATCCTTAGTGCTGTTTCCACAACAATCCAAACTAAATTATTTTCAGGAACAATAACAATCTTATCAGCTTTGAAAGATTACATGCAGTTATTAAAAAAAAAAACCTGCAAATCAAATTTCGAGCTTTTCCATCTTGATAAGAGTTCATTATGATTTATCTAATGAAATTATTAAAGCTAGCACAAGCTTTTTTTTAAAGTTTAAAATAAAAACATGTTTGTTGGACCTGTCACGGTGTACCCCCACCTCTCGCTCAACGACCACCAGAGAACGCTCCCCAGCTCCCCACGGCCTTGAACTGGGACAAGTACAAGCTCTAGAAAATGAATTGCCGGCTGAAAACCCCTCTTAATCTCTTGGTATTAATTAAAAAACAGCTTCTAGTTCAGATGTTTAAGTTAAAAACATTAATCCTGTTTCTTTGAACTTCCAAGTGCTGATAAATAATCCTCATGAAGGTCTGTGTGTGAGAGAGAGAGAGAGAAATATTTCCACATTGCTTTTGGCAGGACTCCAGCTATGTAGCAGCAGACTTCTGACCCCCGGGGGACAACTTTTTCCACAACAAAAAACTAGATATTTGCTGTTGCCATGAGAATATCCACTTAAGAACATGTCATTCCTATAGCATCTCTTATTTAAGATGCAACAGCTTTACTTTAAAGAAAGACGTATTGTATGGTACATTCGATTATCTCTGGTGCTTTGAGATTCGTTTTTTTTTTTTKTTTGTTTGTTTGTTTGTTTTTTAAGGAACAAAGAAGATTTCTGGTCAGAACTATACCTGCTGCCAGTCTTTGCAGGCTGAGCAGGCTGCTCTGATCCAGTCTGGCTGATTCCGGTCAGCGTGACGCCCTCTGACGGCTTCTTCTTTTCTCGTCTGCTGAGTGTTCGGTTCAGGTCTACGGACCAGTCCTAGGAGACAAACAAACACACAACAGTCAGAATCTGGAGCTGACACTGCGAGGATGAGCTTTATCATGCCTCAAAACCAGAAGAGGATCTCACAGACATGTGAGACACAGCAGTACACGCCTCATAAAGTCCTAAACCTCTTTAATCTGTGACACTGACAGGACTGTAATGCTGACAGGACTGTAATGCTGTGCTTGCATGCATGTGGATGAAATAAAAGATAATAAACTGTTTTCATCATCTACTGAAAGAAGAAAGTAATTTGCCCACAGTCACAGGCATCAGAGAGTGGAGAACAGAGAAAAAAAGTCCAACAAACATTTGGAGTCAACCCCAAACAAGATGGCTGCCACAGCTAATTAAAAAGGACTATATTAACCCAGTCATGTTTACAGATGCTGAGCTAAAATCTGACTGGTAGTAGCTGAGCATCACTCCTAAACACTGAGCTCTAACCACTTATCCTTACACATTACAATAAGTCAAYTCTGCCCGTCTGTTAGCAGCATAAATAATGAACCTAATTCAAGCCAATTCAAGATGGCTGCCACAGCTAACTGATCTTAGCMAACACYAAAATGGCTATAAYTTGACTAACTACAAGTCAAATTTACAGATATTGAGCTAAACTTTGAAGCTGTAGAAGCTGAGAGCCATTAACACTACATACCTAACAAACGTCACGGTATCACATAAAATTGTGCATAATGTTGTTTGCAAGCTACAAAGGTTTAAGGAATGATAGTTTTTAAATGCTAATGACATGTTATATTTATATTCATAAACCTTCATGTCCTTTCTAATCAGTATAGAAATAAGTGGTTATCTAGGCTCAAAATATCTTTCTGTTTGGATCAAAACAAGAGGTGTAATCACACAAAGTGGTGCTGTTCTCATAAACAGAAGTAACAACTTGGGAGAACTCTGGAKCAGAATTTAAAGGTTAAAAAAGCACAACGTCATTCGAGCTATTTTGCCATCCAGGAAACTGTGGTCAAAACCCCTTAACTACCAAAGGAAACGGAAGCTGATGTGTAACACACAGCAGAAGGTTTGCCTGAAACAGCAAAGCTAAATCTGTATAAATTAATCAAGTAAACAGCAAGTAAATATCTAATTTAACATACTCGATGGATATTAAAAAATAAACAGAACCACGCATATTAATGGAGGCAGTAAAGTGAAAGTGTTAGTAGGATTGTAGGATTTCCCCCCCTGGCTGCTGTGAGAGAACAGCTCCCATGCAGAACTCACTACAATGGACCATCTCTTAAAGGAGCCGAGTTGTGACCAGTCCAATTTCTGTCAGATATGAGGAAAGGGACGTGAGTGGAGTTATGGTGACGACAACAGTCCAATTCTGCAGCTGTGGATCTGTCTTTAACAGAAAAGCATCTAGAAGCTTGTGAGGGGGTTAAAGACCCTGTCACACAATAATGTTTTAGACAACTTGTGCCAACTTATGGAAAGTTTGTTCAACTTTAAAAATGTCTAAGCTGAGAATGGAATAAAAAAAATCTACACAATGACACTTTTTGGTGTATACATTGTAATGCTAACAATTAGACTGAATATATAGATGAGTAAAATGAGTAATACAGTTGTCTGAGATTTTCTAAAATTGTCTTCTGAGCTAAACCAGAGTGAAAAAGTGGATTAATAGAGTAGCAAAACCTGCAAGAACACCTAGCAGTTCAAACACATGCAGGATTTCTTTTCCTTTTTGCATGCGAAGTTGTGGTAAAGTACCTCAAACTGGGGCCAGTTCATTGGCATGCCAGGGCCGTGATTGGACCGGAACCATTTCAAGTCCTCTTCAACATCAGTAGCAGAGATTGTGTCTTCCAGCGTGTGGTAGACTGTCTGGAATCTGCATCATTACAAAGCAGGAGAACTCATGGATCTCCTAAATGAACTACATGAATTTAAAAACGAGTGAGATGTGACACCTGTACGACGTGTCAGTCTGACCTGGAACTGGATGAGAGGTCCAGATGCCGCTTCACCTCCAGAAGCACCTCTTTGAAAAAGCGAATCCGTTTGTCTTCGAACTGCTGCGACTGCTCGAACACTTGCTCCATGTTCTCCATGTACTGAGGGGTCAACTTGTCGAGCTCTTCAAGGCTCTTCTCGTATCGTTCTTTCGCCTAACAAAGTCATAAACATCCACAAGCAATTTTCAGAGAAAATACATCTTGAACGTTTTAACCATATGTAGCAGAAGAGGCCCCACCTTCTGCACCTCCTGCTGACATTTCTCCAGTTTTTCCTGGAGTTTCTTCTGAGTGTCGGGGTTGTTGTTGCTCTCCAGTTTGCTGTTGTTTTCTCTGCTGGCTGCTAACTTTTCTTCCTTGCAGGCTGCGTGGTAAACTTTCTTCAATGTCTCTACCTGCAGGATTCAAACAGTAGATAAAAATTAGGGAAGCACACTAAATTGTGGTTTTACTTGACAAAGTTTTGGACAAACTACAGTGTGACCTGAGATGAACACAGAGCAGCCATGTCCCACATTAACTACTTAACACGAGTAATATTCTAACAGGAAATTACGCTTTATTATATGAGTGGAAAACAATCAATCTGGACCAGAAAGATTGTTTGTTTTTTAATCAACACTCTGCCTATATTCCACAATCAATTGAAGTCTAATTTCCTATTTGTTTCTTATCGGTTTCTCTTATCTGCCTGGTAAATCAATAAGACTACAAACTGTTTTTGCTCTGAAGGTGTTTAATCACCAACCAAAATGTCTGTCCTCTGTTGCATCACAGACAGGAAATGAGGGGAAAGACCTTTAGGCTGCAACACGATGAGCAGTTCTGAACAGGCTGGTACTCACACACATGCACAGAAAGGAATGCAAAAACTGAGATGTAAACAAGCTGCAAAATGTAGTCGATGATTCATTGACCTGATTCTGAACTAAGAGTCACTTGTTTCCCTGCAAACCTTCCCAGTTTCCTTCCTTTTTGTCAACTCAAAAGCCAAACAGGACAACAGGTTGGCACGATGAGGCTCAGGTCTGACATTAATGTCTAGTCTAACATCAACAGTGACGAGCTGCTGCTCTTCTTTGCAGGTGTTGTTTAGGAAGTAGGTTGTCATGGTGAGAAAACAATGTTTAGTCGGTGAAATGTAATCATGGGAACTGAGGGGTGAAAATTACAGTAATAGGAATAAAACTAACTAGATTGTTGGCAGTGTAGAGGGAAACTAATGACACAAAGTGTGAAATTCTCACCTCTTTCAGTTTCTTGGCCCACGGTTTCTGAGCCTTGCGGAAGCCGTCCTCTGCCTCTTTAGTTTCCTTGAAGCCGCCGATCATCTGTTTGTGGTACGAGTCTTTCTGCCAGTTCTTCAGCTTCTCGTAGTCTTCGCTCATTAGCGCTGCTTTCACCTCTATGTGGAGCTCGCTAACCTTCTCTGCCTCGGTGCACAGGGCGGTCCACGCTTGCTCCAGTGTGCCATACTGAGGACCTACAGACAGAGTTATTGATGTAATATCCATATAACATGTTTACTGAGAGCAGATCCTAGACTTTCTTAATAAAATACTTTGACAGTATAAAAAAGTAGGAATTTAGATTTTTTTTTAAACTAGCTTTCAGCACGATTTACGCTCCTACCTTTCTCTATAAGCTGCCGCCAGCGCTTTCCCCATTCTGTGAGCTGCAGTGCGTAGGCCTTTTCAATGCGAGCCCGTTCATGAATACAGCTCATCAGATCGTTACAGAGCCGATTGCCATCATCAACACGCTTTACTGTGCGTTTATAGTTACCAATCTGAGAACAACAGAGAAACACACAAATGCGTGATGAGTAAAATGGCAGTTTTGCACTTCTTGTCCACTCTCAAATCGTTCCTTCTGTAATGAATTAACTTATTTCGAAATGTCAAACTAAGCAACAGCAGCGTGTTTTGGTTGTGTCTGCTGGTGTTCATTAATTCATTTGTTTTATGGGCAGAGTTGTAAATGTTTACTCGATGTTATAGAAACTAGTTTTCCAAATAGAAAGGAACGAAACAGATCTGTTTTGAGAAGCTGTCAGTGTAAATAATAATAATAATAATAAAAAAATTAATTAAAAAAACTGGAAACATCTCACCTCCCAGAAGCTATCACTGGAAACATCAATCATGGAGTCATCATAGGTGCCCGACATGGCTGCTGCCAACAATTACACACAGTGTGCTGAGCCTGAAAAACAACAGAAATAACACACACAAACCCAAATAAATCAAGATAACTGAAAAAAACAAAAAAATACAACTGCATTCATTTTTTCACATATTTCTACACTTACAGTAAAATTGCACCCTAATATAACTTGGGTTAGTACTTTCTTTTCTTGACAGAACTGTGTTTAGGGAACTGAATTATAAGATAATAAAGAATTGGAGGAGCGAGTTAAAAATGTATGTATATAAACATCAGCAGAAGAATTTGAGTTAATAATATAACAGAGATATGAAACATAAAACTCAATAACTTTTAGCCTAAATGCTAAAAAATGCACGCTTTTTTGTTTTTTGAGCACAAATTGTAACCAGAAACCTGCAGCTGAAAGACTAGAAGTAAAATCTGTCGTTCTGATATCAGAACATTCCTGAGAGATCAACAAGCTGTGGATCAGAAATGAATACCAAAACTTCAGGCACAGATAGACTGCTRTTTAATTTGAACATCTTATCAGCAGGCAGATGTTTTCACCAATTTTTAATAATCTATTTAAGCCTGAAAACTGAGACTTTTATATAAAAAGTGAAATTGTTTTTAATGTTTTATGTCTTGTCACATTATCCTTTAGTCTTTTTTTGTGGTTTGTTTTGTGTGCAACATTTTGCCCAATGACATGTTTTTAAATGTGCTAAAGAAATGTGATTTGATTTAAAACATATCAAACTGAAGCCACAGTGGTTTGTGGCAGCACACAAAGCCTCTACTTTAACAGAGGCAGAGAACAAGAAGCTGTCGAGGACACACAGCAGGCGGCTTCCGTTTCCTTCAGAYGGCTACAAAGGTCGGTTCTGTTACTCCTCTCCATCATTTAAAGCTCAGCAGCCCTCATCCAAACACTCCCTCTTTCTTATTCACCCCCCTTGGTTTTCTCCTCCATCCTCTCCTCTCACTTCCTTATCTCCTTCCCCTCCGCTCCTCTCTCAGCCTTCAGACCAAGTCTCTTGTGCCAGGATTTTCAGACTGACAATAAGCATCAAGATGAAAATACGTTCACTTGGAGATCATTCGTTTTGTTGCAGTTTACATCCAACAAACGAGAAATTCTGACACAGCTGCAATGTTTGTTTTTAATTTTAGCCCAAATTATCACCAACATTACTGTCTTTGCCAAGTGCGATCACACAGAGCTTCTTTCAGCAGAGGACGACAGCAAAAAGACGAAGGCTACTTCGCAGTGTGTGTGTGTCTTCATCAACGATCAGTGGCCCGTGCCCTCAGAGTGGTTCTTGGACAGAGGACAGCTTTGTGGTTACCACAGCCCAGAGAGACAAACGGACAATTATCCCTTTAAGTGTCTGAGTCTAAAGTCAAGTCAGTCAAGCAGCAAAATGTACAAACGAATCGAAAGCAGCAAACACACAACAAATGTTATCTGTCACAAAAAAACAGACTTTAAATTAACTTCTTGTGAATCACGGCTTTGACAACAAACCGGGTTTGCATTTTAATACATCAATTACTATAATAACATTTCTAACTTTTCTGATCAATTTATGATCAAGTTTGTATAGAGAAAGTATGTTAGAGTGATAAAGAGTAAGCATATAAGTTTTAGTAAATAAAAGAAAATTAAAGACACACTGCAAACACGGAGCATAAAAATACGTGTAAATCACTCCTATGTTTCTGTTCTTTTGGCGTCCCCTCACCAACTATTCTTAGCTTTTTTTCACTGCTCAATCTGTTGGAAAAAAGAGAAAATCAAGGGAGACAATGATGTTTGAATAGTTGCAGAGCAGAAATTTCCATGAAGGGCACACACCTGTTAACCATGAGGGTGACAAATAATTTAAACTTACCCAAAAAAACAACAACTAAAACTTAAACCCTATGTTGGATGGTAAAATATAAGAAAAACTATTACTTGTGTAACAGCAGGTAATAAATAACGTTAAACAGAGAAACTCACTTGAAAAACTATTTCAATTGAATTCCTTCAATACAAAAGCTCTCCTTCTTTGTACTAATAAAATAGAYGGCAAATGGAAACAACTGTCTGCACACCCCTCACAATGTTACACAGAGGGACTGTTTTAAACAATTGAATGGAGCCTGACCCATAATAACTGTAAACATTGTTGTTGACGGAGCTGCGGTCTGAAGTCCACCCAGTYTAAAACTCTGCAGGGAAATGCTAGAAAGATCAACACCATCTATTCCTGTGCACAAGTAAACGAAGACCAAAACACATGGGAATCTGTTGGATATAAAGGGGCAGTGAAGTGAAGATAGTGCAATCTAGCACTGGAGTTTTAAGGTGTCAAGTGAATACAAATGAAGGATTTCTTCAAGGCTACAGAGTTTCTAAGATTACAAGCTTAAAGAGATTACATAATCAAGCATAACGATATTCACAAAATGTTGATAAGAAGTTGTACTACTAAGCACAATGGAATCTGGTTGTTGACAAAAGTCTTAAGATAGAAGTGAATGCATTCCTAAGAGCTTCCATGCATTTAGTGAGCCTCGGCTTGTTGTGCAAACTCAGATGCCATGACTGCACATCTAATGCACCAAAATGTATACAGACCAGACTAACTGTTTTCATTTTAAAATGGTATCAGTGTTGGAGTTTTCAAAAATATCAGTCAGGCATTAATCTAAGGCGCAGGGGTAGTGCTGGGTGGTATACCGTTTTGTACCGAATACCGGTTTTTATTTTTGTTAGGATATGAATTTTCTGAATACCGGACATTCCGGTTTAAATAGCGGAACGTTTCGTCGTGGCCGCCAGTGAACTGTTGTTTCCCGGGGAACATTTTTCCTTGCTGCACCGCTATGTGCGTTAGCATGCTAACGTTTGGAGCAGCTAGATGCAGCCACGGGTGGCGATTCCACTGCTTATATTGACTGACGTTTAAAAAAACATCCCGTTTTCACCGTCGCTGAATGTAGTAAACACCTCTTCAGTGACGTGCACAGTTAGATTTAACGTGGTTAGTTAATATGGAGACGTTATGCTGATGGAGACTTAACGTGGTTCTATTGTGAAAAGCCTGCAGGAAGTAGTTCATAGTGGAGTTGGAATTGACTGGTGTGCAAGGTGAGTCGTGCTGATAGGCTTTAATAAATCACAAAACAATAAACCCGATCATAATCTTTTCTTAACCCTCCTCCTTCACGACTGGACCAAAATGCGTGACTACTGTCTCCAACCACCAGTCAGAGAAGAACAGACACAGAGGAGGGAAACAGAGACACAGACAGAGGTACAGTAAAAGAAAAAAGTCAATAAGCAGGGTTTGTACATTTTGTTATCAGCTGAGCTGTGATGAAAAGAAAAATACCGTAAAACCGGTGAAAATGTTGAAAATACCGTGATATAAAATTTTGATCATATCGCCCAGCTCTACGCAGGGGTAACCATAGCATTTATGATGATCTCATGTTTTAAAAGAAAAAAACTATTATTCAGACTCCCTTAAAAGGGATCCCTGATTAGTTGTAACATTAGACTTTATTTGATAAACATATATTTTAACTGTAAAATAAAGGCTGTAAAATTACTGTAGCTGTTTAGTTTAGTAAATTATTAGTTTAGTAAATTATTTAAAATATATTTTAACACGGACAGAGCCATTTTATTTACACACAAAGCATTCTGGGTAAATGATGACGTGGATTGGTCCTCGATGTGAGCGAGCTATATCCACCCTGAAGGTTAATCTTGGACAATATCTGATGATCGACTMTTTTAAATGAAACCAGAGAGCGTTGACAGAGAGGAGAAGGTAGAAATGACTCAGCCTGTAACTGAAAATATAGATGGAGGACAACAGAGCTGCTTCATGGAAGAAGAACCTCAGCTTAGCCTGTTAGCTTTTGAGCTAGCGCCAAYGCTATATTGCCTTATATGTATTAGCTCAGTGCTAGCGTGACAAACAAGCTAAACTGAGGTCCTCCATCCATATTTTCAGTTACAGGCTGAGTCATTTTTGTGTTCCCCTCTCTGTCATGAGGATGGAGGACCTCAGTGACGAGAGGAGAATGTGTAGCGCTGAGCTAATACATATAGATGGTGATAGCATCGGGGCTAATGCTAAAGCTAACAGGCTAAGCTGAGGTTCTTCTTCCATGAAGCAGCTCTGTTGTCCATCTATTTTTTCAGTTCCAGGCTGAGTCATTTCTATCTTCTCCTCTCTGTCAACGCTCTCTGGTTTCATTTAAAAGAGTCGATCATCAGATATTGTCCAAGACTAACCTTCAGGGTGGACATAGCTCGCTAGCAGCCTCGCACCGAGGACCTATCCACGTCATCATTTACCCAAAATGCTTTGCGTGTAAATAAAATGGCCCCGTTCGTGTAACATATTTTWAAACTTTTAGATAATATAAAAATGCTGAGGTTTTTTATTATTATTTTGACTAGATTAAATCAGCAGATCAACAGGTTTTAATCTGACAAGCAAGATATTCAAGGTTGGTCCTGAAAAGTACAACAGAAACCATTCCGCACATTAAATCACATTTTAAACAAGTTGGCATTTAAAATATTTGAGGATCATAGTTATTTAAACAAAATAAAAACACAATCAGGAAGATACCCAAAATGGCACATGCACAAGTCCCTGCTAYGTCAACCTTTTAATCCATAAAAATATGGAAAGGTTGATTATTTCTGAAGCGTGATTTGGAGAGCAGCAGCTTTCAGCCTGGATCCAGAAAGAAGCAGCACAGACAAAGGCAACATTAGATGATCAAATGTTACAAAACACACAAAAAAAAAGAAAAAAAGCTCATTATAGAGCTGACAGAGAGAAGAGCTGAGTCACAACAAGCATCAGACGCAAGATGACCTCAGCAACACGTGCATCGGGGGCAAAGTAGATTAAACAAACGCTGCAACAGGAATACCAAAGTGGCGAGCTAAACGTAAAACWGACAGCTGGCTGCACACAATATTATGTATAAGAGCACCACTGAGCCCTATAAACTACCAGCAGACTCTCTCTTCACTCCATGTTTATGTTTCTCAAATGCTCTGGGATTTCTTTTTAAACAGCTTCATGAATGGAGCTGAAAAGCAGGAAACAACAGGACATTCAGAGGGAAATGATGAGAACACAGAAAGCTGACAGGTACAAACACGCCAGCAAGACATGTCACAATAATACAGAATTGTTTGTGACATAGTGTGTATTCTGGCTGATTTTTTTTTTAACCACAAAACCAAAACGGTGAAAATAGTAACCAGCCTGTCAATAGAGACATAGTCTTTATGAACAGTGTGAAGTATTACAGAATAACCTAATTCTATGGAGACAAAACAAGTCCAATAAGTAGTCCGTGCTTTATTTGGYTTCCTGATAGTCACCGTTTCATAGCATGACATTAAATAAACTCAAACAGGGCTAGAAACAAAATTAGGGGTGTCCTGATACCGATACCAGTATCGATATCGGGTCCGATACCAGCATCAAGTACTCATACTCGTAAAAGCCGGCCAATACTCTTAACCGATACCGCTTTTGTCCCCTTTTTTGTTCCTCCTGTGCTGCGCTGCAGCACAAAGGGTAAACAACAATCCATACCAGGCGGGGGCGCTAATGCACTGACAAGTTATTTCCGACCGCACCCCCGAATAACAGAAGAACAACGATGGCGGTAGAAGAAGAAGTAACGTCGGCAGTTTGGATATATTTTAAGATCGGCACGGAGGACACCAAACAAGCAGACTGTCTGCTGTGCTCTGTTAAACTGTCAGGGGGAGGAGCGAAAGTTGGAAGTTTTAACACCAGCAATTTGATTCAACATTTGAGGACAAGACTTGACAAAGAATTCAAAGAGTTTCTGCTGCTAGCAGTAGCCTTCATAAACAGCACTATGC